TCATTTACCTCTCCCTTCTTTGAATGTAAGAGAAATACCCTGAATGTAAAGCTGCGAGGAGAGGAGGCAGCTCGTGCTCAAATCTTCATTTCTGCTCGGCTGCCACGAATGACTTGTAGTTTCTTGGGTCCACATGTGTGGCAGTAACACCGCGTGAACTGTGTCTAGGTGCGAATGTCGTGTGAAGAGTTTAACAGTTTACAAAAAGGGAGTCGAACGTGCGATAATCTGAGTGTTCGAGGGTGAGCGTTTGTTCCTCATATTTTACTGGACCTTCTGACAAATGAAAACAAGTCTCGCTGAAAAGAAGAGAAGGAGGTCTACAGCACCTTGGCCTCCCCCAAGTATAAATCTTTATATCCCCCTCTCCCTTTCTCCTAAAGTACTCCCCACAGCACTCCACCCCCCATTCCCTTTTAGAAAGAACCACCCTTTCCCCCTGGTGAAGCCAGCCCCCTCCTCCGACCCTAAAGCAGTGCCCCAAGAGAAGAGAGGTAAACATGGCCCCCCTCCGTTCTCCTCACCCCCACTCCTCGCCCTCCTCCTCCTCCTCTTCCCTTTCTCAGTTTGTTTGCCGACGGGCTGCTTTTTGGACTTTTTTGTTTGCCGTTACGGCCTTAAACTCAGGCCACACTTTGAAGATGCTGTAGAAAAAAGAAAAAGAGGTGGCAATGATACAGATCAATTTCTGAGACTATGAGGGAGCATCTGCACATGCTTCTTATGTATTTACAACCTGAAATCATTTAGTTGATGAAAAAAAACCCTGTGCAGACAAAGCTGTGTAATCAGTTGCAATACCATTCAAAATGTATACATTTAATGCAAAAATGCGGTTAACCCTTAATGCCTGATGCATTATATTTTATACATACAGCTTTTATGAGTTTTTGAGCATTATCAGTGTGATTTCCCCCCTCTCTGAAAAATCTAAATACATTGTGCAATACATTTTAAGCAATAAATTGCAAAAAAGTAAATAAAAATCAGAACGTTCATAAACAAGGTTCATAAACACTTTATTTTTCAAAAAACTGTCTGGCAATTATTTCACGGCTTTAAGGCTTTAAGGTTTTTTTAAAAAAAAACAACATCACCCTAATCTAATTTTTTTGAAACAATATCTGGCATTAGATCATTTTTGTTTTTCGCACTGCTGTTGTCAGAATATGTCAGCGATTTAAAAAAAAAGAAAGGAAGAAAAAGAAAAAGAGCCTGACAGGTTTACTGTACAGTCACGGGGTGTTAGAGTAGAGACTGTGTAGGAGTGAAAGATAAGCGTGGGAGAGACCAGCAAAGAGGAAGGAAAACTGCTGTTGGGGGGGGGTAAAGAGAATGTGCTGTTTTTATCCTTCAGTGAAATTAATCCTCAGTTCAAGAAAGGAGACAAATAAAAGAGCTCGTTTAATGAGTTGTACTACAATATAAGAAAAAAAGATAAAGCGGGGAACTTTCGTCTACGAGCGGCACATTTACATTTTCGGTAGCTTTGCGAGGTGCCACATGTGGAGAAACAGGGAGCTGCTGTAGTCACGTGTGCTGCTACTTCTGTGAGAGAAAAGAAAAATACTCTGTGCACGAGCTTCACACCAATTTGCATCTAATCCATCTACGATGCCCCCCACTCCATCCTCTCTGCAGATGTGGAGATGGATGAGCCTTTGCCATGCATCTCTGTCACCCAGTAATGCAGTCCACTGGGTCACCTGGTAAAACAGCCCATATGGTGGGAGGTTTTGACAACATGTGCCCTCCCCCCCCCACCACACACACACACACACACACACACACACACACACACACACACACACACACACACACACACACACACACACAGACTCTGCAGGAAAGTCTATCCACTTTTTTTCTAAACTGGAACATGATGCAGACCAGTCCCCACCTCCTCCTACACACACTTCTCCATTACAAGGTGTTGCTGGTTGAAGACAGACGAGGCAGTGCTGGTTAGGATTAGCTCACTACAACCCTATAGCCCTGCCCCTGCAGTCTAGACTTGGCTTTCTTTGCTTTAGTATCTTTCTTCCCCACCTGTTCCTGCCCTGATTTGTGCAGTAGCCCTCTCAATACTCAGCTAATACATTTCCTTTGAAAGCTAATTTTTATTTCATGTGTGGACCTTTTTGTAGCCGCAGACACACACAGTGGGGGGACTCGGGAACATTAGAATTTAAAACTTATTTACTGCTGAGAAGTTACAGCTACTACCATGCGCCCTCCAAAGGTCCCCACAGGCTGGATTTATTTGCTTCAGAGCCTTCAGGAAACAGTCTTCATTGTTCTAAAGGTGTGACCCCCCCTCAACCCCACCCCTGAATGCCTCTGGGGGTACGCTACCTCATAAAAGAGACTGTTAATGTACTCTGACCTGGGGTGGGATTATTATTTTGGCGGTCTCTTGGCACGAGGGGAGGGTTCGGCTCAGTCTGCCTGGCTGGATCATTCAGAGCAGGCTGGACAAGGTGCCATCGAAACACAGATGTGGGAACAGCTATCAGAAACAAAAAGCTAACTAGGTGTTTTGGCTCGACTTGTGACACACACCACATGGGCGAGATGTAGCAGAGGAAATATGTACAAAGACAGCCTTATGCCTTTGCAGATGCAAAGCTATATACAGAATGTATACATGCTCACAACCACGAAGACAAGCAGCTCTCAGGTCTTCTGTGACTGATATCACTTTTGTTTTGAACGTGCTTGTAGGAGGCAGTGGCTGAAGTTCAGGGAGGGTGGGGGTCTTAGCACACACATAATGTAAGCTTTGGAGGTTTTGCCAATGCACCAAAGCCTAATGTGAAGTGTGAAACTGATTCTAGTGATGAGCCTAGAGAAAATTAAACACCCTCTACAAATAATCACATAGTGTAAGTATCTGGCCTGCAGCTTTACTGCAGTACTTCACCATTATCAAACACAGCATTGCTCTGTTTTCAGCAGATATGCAAAAAGCCACAGTTTTGCACTAAATGCATGACAGACAGAGTGAGGAAATAACTGGTGGATTTCCAGGAGCAGCTAAAAACCGAGATATTTCCCCAAGGACTGTGTAGAAACCAAAACGGGCTAAAAATGAGCAGATACAAAACTTTGATCCATCATGCGGACGGAAACATGACCCCAAATAAAATAAAAAAACGTCTCTGTTTAACTGCTGGGTGTGTTAATAAGCAACTGTCTACAAGCAAGTTTGCCGATGTCATTTGAGTTTAACCAGTCAATAGTGTATGTGTGTGTGGGTGTCATGGGAGCTGTGGCAGATTTAAAGTTACAAAAGGGATTGAAATAGAAAAAAAAGTGTTAATCTCGATAAAACTGAGTTGGGGGGGTGTTGCATTAAAGAAGACATGCCTCTTTAAACAAAGTTAGGTCATTTTTTCTGCTGTTTCATGTGCTCCTATTGGGGTGGCTGTGGCTCAGGAGGTCACGCAGAACCAGCTCATTTACTATTAAAATTAACAACATATCTTAAAAGGATGTGTTGCATTTCAGTATAAATAAATATCACATATTTTGCTCTACATACGAGTATTTGAGCATTTTAAAGCTTCCATATGAGTCTTCTTGTCAGTTGTAACATTCTTTAAAAGGGACAATCTAAGAAAAGCCTCCCTCTCTAAAAGCCCACAAAGTCTATGTATAATAATAATCATAATTCTAAAATATACAGATCCGTCAACAGAGTATATTTAGACTCTTTCATTTATGCTATATGCACGCTTGTGCGCTTCTTTGTGTCTTTGAGCCTGAAAGTCTGCTGCACCTTCACACATGTACCTGACCTCACACAGTTCTGTGTAGCTTCTGTTGCACCTCGCCGCATACACATTTATACACGCATATGTGCGAGCTGCCCCTCGAGGAAGTGGTTACCTTTTAGGCTTTCTGGTTTCACATATCTTGTTTCGTCCGGGGCTGCGAGAGTGTGTGCATGATGGGGATTAAGAGAGGCCCAGCTCAAGGCAAAGACAGACGTGGCCACTCTTTCCTTTGTCTTTTGGTCGTTCCGTCTCTCTCTCTCTCTTCCCTTTCCAGTCTTTTCCTCTCTCCTTTCTCCCTCTCTTCCCCAGTGGCACGGTGATGGATGGCAGACTGCAGGGGTGAAGGTGGCGGAGTGTGTGATCAACAGCCAGGCCTTTGTGTGTTTCTGTGTGTGTGTACTTGTATATGTGTGTGTGTGTGTGTGAAGTTCTCTCTAGGAACGGTTGTGTTGAGAATAAGCAGTGTGTGGTATGAAACCTGTAATGATGAAATGAGTCACTAATCACAGTGATTAGCAGGTTGATGTGGGGGAGGCAGCGACTGGCACTGGGATGGTGCTGCTTTCAAACTAAAGCAGACTCGCACAAAAAGAAGAAGAAGAAGAAGAAGAAGAAGAAGAAGAAGAAGAAGAAGAAGAAGAAAAAGAGGCACCTACATGAACAAAAGCACACGGGCAAAAGCACACGTGTAGCAAGGCAGCGCTTTTTGCACACATATGCACAGACAAACACTCAAAAGAGTCAACCATTTAGAAAAAAGGAAAAGAAAAAAGAGATAAACTTATCAATATTCATTTTATCTAATAATAAAGTCTCACACTCAGTCTTTCTCTCATGTCAGTCAGTTTTATTGCTGACAAAGTGAACGGTTTGTATAACAGTCTAGTAACCAACTTAACTGAACGTAACTATCTGGTACAATTATAGCTTAAAACAAAATATAATTTTACATTAAATAAAAAAGTTTTAAATTTAAATAAAATAAAACATTTCTTAAATTAAAATAGCATAGCATAGCATCTTTATTTATAACGCACTTTACATCCAACAATGTTGACCAAAGTGCTACAAATATAAAACAGAGAGGAAACAGTTTAAATTACATATAAAATATCTTAAAATTAAAAATAATATAATTAATAAGAAACAGTATTAAGAGATCAACAAGTCCTGCTGTGCTAAAAGCCAAGGTAAATAAATATAAATAAGTAAACTGTCCTGTTTGTTGCTGCCCTAAAAAGTTAAACACATTTGGACAGTGAAGCAATGTCAGCATTCTTGCTCAGAAAAAGGAGCTGATCAACATGCTCTGAAGTCAGAGTGCTCCGTTTTGCTGTGACGATGTCTCCAGCGGTTGAGAAGACTCTTTCAGCCGAGACACTAGTACCTGGGATACAAAGGTATCTTTTTGCCAGTGTGGCCAGGAAAGGATAGACTTCCTCATGGGATTTCCACCAGCTTAGTGGGTCTTCTGTGAGTGCCAGTGACGTGACCTCCTGGTATCTTTTCACCTCCTCCTCAGCTGTGGCAGATAATGATTTTGGTGGGGCTCCAACATCACCATAAGTCTGACCAAGCAAGTCTGTTAACCCACAAGACTTCCTCATCTTGGCTGGTATGAGAGGGGGTCTGGGATTTTGTTCAGTCTCGTCAGGTTTCTCATGATGTTCATGGGCTTCTGGCTCACAGATGGGCTGCTGCCTCTTTTCTTCCTGTAGAAAACCCACACACATACAGAGAGAGGAAGAAAATAAATATTTCATATCTTTTAGTATGCAGTAATATGTTACAAATTATAATAATGTATTTAATTGTTAAATAGAATATTACCAATATGACAAAAATATCACCGATCTACTAATATTGTAAGTAAGTTATTTAAATTATAACACCAGAATGTTTGCTTACCTGAAGGGTTATAGCCTCAGCAACCACTCTGGCATAGGTTTCCTGTCTTTCCTCCAGTGACAGGAACGGCAGGGTTTTAAAGCGTGGGTCGAGAGCTGATGCTGTGTAGAGGGTGTTCCTCTCGACTGTGCTGGCATATCTCTTCTTAAGATCTTGACTGATACTTTGCTTGATGTTTCTGACCAGC